TCGAAGCATTCTACTAGTCCCAAAAAAAGCCCGAACCGCATCAATCACCGAGTTACCAATTATATCCCAATAGGACTTGAAGAATTTCCCAGTAAACCCATCAGACCCCGGAGCCTATTTAGCTCCCATTGAAAACACGACTTTACGAATTTCCTCAGGGGAGACTTCCGCCTTAAGCACTTCGTTCATATCTGACGAGACCTTCCGTTCTATTGGAAGGCTAGCAACCCTCTCATCCATGTTCTGGACAGTAGTCCCAGAAGTGAAGAGATTTTGATAGTAATTGGTTGCTATATCCGCCTTCCCACGCTCATCTGTAATCCAGTCACCCTCGTCATTGTGAAGGCCTGAGACAAAATTATGCTTCCGGCGGGTACGGGTAACCGTGTGGAAATACGAAGAGTTTCTATCCCCTTTCTTAAGCCAATGGACTCTGGATTTCTGTTGCCAATACACTGGAACGGAATCCCTTAATTACACTAAATTAGGAAATATTAAGATTGCAACTTATCTTAACGACAATTAGAGACATCCTCAAAGAGAACCCGAAATTTAAATTGAAATTGATTAGTGGTAACATGTAGGGATCATAAAAATCCAAAATTCGGGTATAAGCCTATAAGCCCAAACTCAATTTTTATGACACAAAACAGATTTGGAACATATCAGTTTTGGGCATACATGGGAGGGCTGTTAATGAGCCGAGCCGAGTTTTGCCTTGTTCATGTTCGGCTCGTTTATAAACGAGCTAACCTCGACTCGTTTATAAACAAGCAGAGTCGAGTCGAACACGAGCCGGCTCATTTATTAAATCTTGACACATCATTAAGATCGAAAGTTTGGCTCGAGCTCAACTCTAAGATAATTTATATAATAAATGCCCTAATATTTATATGTCATATGTGATACATATGATTACCTAATGTTATGTCATATATGAGACGTATTTGCTTACATATACTCAATGTATTAAACACCATATGAAGTGATATATACAATTTAATAATTATATGCATCATTAACAAACCAACTCATAAAATATAGATTGATTTTCTCATAAGCTGTAGTCAAGTTAGCTCTCTAGTCGCAATGTTGGAACATTTCATAAGCTCGAAACGAGAGAGTTCACGAGTTGTATTAACGAGCCACATAATCGTGCTAGTTCACGAGCGAACAAGGTAGAGCTCAAGCTTGACTCGTTTATTAATATATTGAGCTTTTTTTTAATCGAACGAGTTTTTATCGAGTTCGAGACCAAACCGCTCATGAATAACTCGGCTCATTAACAACCCTATATATGATATATCAATACCCAACTTTTTAGTTTTAGTACATAAAGGAAAATGTATATTTGATTCCAATGCTAAGTTTTGTCTTTTCCTTTTTAAAACAAACAAAAATATGGAAACGAAAACATCGAATATGTGAATTGGGTGTGTTTTTACTTATAAATGTCCTAATATATCCATTTGCATCTAAGTCAAATGAGTTAATTCAAATTGAACCAAATTCAACCCAACTCATATTCAAAATCATTAAAAAGTGCATACATATCCATTTCGGATCTAACTCAATATCTATACAAATCATTATAGTTTGAGCATATTAGTTCATGAGTTACTCATTATCATTCCTTATCATTTCCGAGTAGGATAAAGATGTGGAAGTAGGGATGACAATGGGGCAGATTTGTCTAAACCATCCCTTTCTCTGCTTTCAAATATCCAAACCCGTACCCTACCCATACCCATGTGGGGAAGGTTTTGCAAATCAATCCTTGTGGGTTTCGGGTACCCATGGGTTATACCCGTCCCATACATCCAACATCATTGTACCTAAGACTTTACATTTAAATTTTCAATTATAACGCTAGACAAACCTACTAGCAACAAAGATACAATCATTTTAATATGGTTCAAATCATATGATCCTAAATCATCCATTAGTCAATAACATAGAGTACAATATTTTTCAAATCATTAGCTGCTAACTCCGATACATCTACTAAGTAAAAATTAACTAACATAATTATCTTGTTAACAAGAGGAAAAGTGAAAGAATGAAGGGAGAATTGAAGGAAAAGGATTAGGTTTGGATTTGGATGGCTACTCAATTGCATTTCTCTTTTTTTTTTCTTGAGTTACCTTTACTATCATTGATAGGTTACAATTTGATCCATGCATGTTTTTATATGTGAAGAAATGTTCTTGTTGGGGCGGATATGGGTATGGGGCGAGAGAGGCTAAAACCATACCCGCCTCTTACCTATCAAACTTTTTGCGAGTTTTACCCATACCCGCCCCATATATACCTAGTCAATGCAGGGATTTTCCGTATTGACTGGGTCAGGAGCGATCTGGGTACCCGCAGTAATGGGTTTGATTGACATCCCTATGTGAAAGGAAGGATATGCTCTCGTTAATGTCTGCAATGAAGATGAGAGCTTCGCAGGCCTGGAGGCCCCAATTTATGAATTAGATGGGTCAGCCAGCCCCATACCCAGTTAATACAGGGATTCCCCGTGTTGATTAGGTCAGAGGCAATCGAGTACCCACAGTAATAGGTTTGATTGACATCACTATGTGGAAGGAAGGATATGCTCTCATTAATGTCTCCAATAAAGATGAGAGCTTTACAAACCTGGAGGCCCCAATATCTTAATTGGATGGGGCTTTAGTGACTCAACTACCCAATTTCATGTTGCATAAGAATAACGGAAAAAATCCAAAACTACCACAGTTTAAAATTTTTTTTACAAAAATACCACCCTCACCAAATAATTTCCAAAAATACCATCGTTTATTTAAAACTGCCCCCCTGATGAGCGGTTTTCAATGAAACCGCGCCTCTAGGCGGCGTTTTCCTTTCTAACCACTCTTTGGAGGCGCGTTTTTATTTACCGGAGTAAACCGCCTCTGGGACGCGCGGTTATAGGCTAAACCCTACCACAAAACGCTGGTAGAGGGAGCGTTTAATTGTCGGCATTACAAACCGCCTGGGAAAGGGGCGGTTTACAAAGTCAGGACACAAACCACTCCCTTGAGGCGCGGTTTGTGCCTGGTCACCCGACACCCGACATGTCGGACATGTCGGCATGCAGGGGTAGGGCTGCATGTCAGGACACAAACCGCTCCCTTGAGGCGCGGTTTGTGCCTGGTCACCCGACACCCAGCATGTCGGACATGTCGGCATGCAGGGGTAGGGCTGCATGGCAGACATAAAACCGCTCCCCCCCCCCCAAGCGGTTTTGGTGCAAAATTTGCCTATAAAAGGCTGTTTCGGAGAACACAATTCTTCACACTTCCTTCCTCAATTCGCACTTCCTTCCTCAAATTTCAGCTTTGCACCTTTAAATTATTTAGTTTTGGCGATTAACGTTAATTCGTAAGTTTATTTCGTAATTACTTTTCATTGTCTTTGTGATTTTATGTTAGTAACTTAATTACTTTTGATCGTCCTTTGTGATGTTATGTTAGTAACTTAATTACTTTTCATTGTCATTTGTGATTTTATGTTAGTAATTTGAATTACTTTTCATTGTCCTTTGTGACGTTATGTTAGTAACTTGTGTTACTTTTTATTGTCATTTGTGATTTTATGTTAGTAATTTGAATTACTTTTCATTTTTCTTTGTGTTGTTATGTTAGTAACTTGTGTTACTTTTCATTGCAGATGGCATTCCAAAGGTTCACGCTTGGGTTGCGGTTGAATGGTTACACGTAAGAGACCGAAAAGGGTGTAAGTTACGTCGGTGGCAATTTTCATAAAATGAAGGTCCGTACGAGACCGATGCTTGAAGAGCTCCACCGAATGTGCACTCAGATTACCTGCATGGATGGCAGTAGAAGAGTTGATCGAATGGTGTATCGATATCCAAACAGACATGACGGGTCGCTGTGGCATGAGGAATTCCTCCTTACCACTCAGGAGGACGTTGATGCCATGGTCCAATTTTTGACCACCAATACAATTAAGCAAGCGGAGATGTTCGTTTACACCGAGGCCGTCGAAGGCAGTGTAGGTCATTCTGGAGATGGCCAAACATCTGGTATCCAAGGTGGGAGTGTAGTATACGAAGATACTCCCCACTAGGATTTCCAAGCCTCGAGTTGGAGTCAGGAGTATCATAATGGAACTGGAGGAAGTCATCAATCCTTCCATTCATATGAAGAAGAAGCTCAACAGGCGGATTACAACCAACAAGCAGGCTATAGTACCCACCCGAGTACAACTTCTATCAAAGCGGTGTTAGTTACCACAACTACCATTACGGAGCTAGTGGAGGTCAAGGTGCCTTTCATGCTGATAATCATATGGAAGAAGAGGTCAATCCAAGTCCAGTTAGTGACCATGAGGTTGAAGAAGAGGAAGGCGAAGTTAGTGCAGACAGCTCCGATCCGCTGGAAGGTACTGATGATTCCGGTCCAGATTCAGATGCAGATGGTGATGAGGTACCTCACGACCGTGTACCTATTCCATACTACAATCACATTCAAAGTGAAGATTGGTATGTTGATGCCGACATGGACCCGCCAGATGTGCCATTATGGGGTCCACTAACTGGCTTTACGAAGGGCCAACAATTTGCAACGAAGAATGAGGTTCGACACGCTATTTCCACTGAAGCAATGACTCGGAGTTTTGAATGGTAGACAACCCATTCCGACACAAAGAGGCTGATAGTTCGATGCAGAAACCACAATGAGGGATGCACAGCTAGGGTCTGGGCCATCAAGAGCAAGAGAGTCGGTCATTGGGTCATATCACGTGCGGTGAACACACACACATGTGTGTCATCAATAACATCCCAAGGCCATCGACAGTTGAAATCAAGGGTGGTTGCCGCGGCTATCAAACATCTAATTGAGGAGCAGCCCGACCTGAAGGTGAAAACCATCATCGCCCACATTTCTAGTCGTTATGGTTATATCATTAACTACAAGAAAGCGTGGCATGGGAAACAGAAAGCAATGACTGCCGTGTTTGGTGACTGGGAAGAATCATATGCATTCCTTCCCAAACTGATTTTGGCGTTGGAGGTGTCTAACCCTGGAACCATTTTCTCGCCTCGCTAACCCGGTGACCGTCCATATAAAATGTTGCCAACCATTCATATTGGCAACAACTTTAGGTGGTGGCGTAGAGTCCACACAAACAACATCACCATCGATGGGGAGATCGGTTAGGATGGCGATGTCCTTAAGTGTGATGGTGCACTCGCCTTCACGAAAATTGAAGCAGTGTGTCTCCTTTCGCCATCTCTCTACCATCGCCGTGATGAGTTGGCGGTCGATCTTAATTCCATTGAAATGCCTAATCGAATCCAATCTTGCCCTTTTTAGAAAGGGCAAGATGACGTCGTTCCATTCAAGCACATTCGTTGTGCCCCTATAGCGGACTATATGGTATGCATCCTAGAGAAAAAATTAAATTTCACTATAAGTTGATGAGTTATACATATATAAATATATTATAAGATACAATTTATATATAAATCAAGGTTGTTTTAGAGAAATATACATTATCTAATAAACATTAATTTTAACATAACTAAAATAATTTTCTAAGATGCAATATTAATTAAATCAAGCGATTTTATAGAAATATACATTATCTAATTAACATTAATATTAACATAACTAAACCAATTTTTTAAGATGCAATATTAAATTAAGCGATTTTATAGAAATATACATTATCTAATAAACATTAATATTAACATAACTAAAATAATATCCAAATATATTATTTTGTTAATCGTATTGATTATTTTCAATAATTTAAAGCAATACAAGTACACTCGTAAGACTCTTAGGAGAGGGATACATCTCCTTAGAAACACAGTCTTTTTGACAGAAAAAGGGGGGATCCGAGGATCGCTTAGAACCCGATTTTCCCAGGTCATGGGGGGATCATGATGATCGCTTAAGTCCCCATTTCCTTAGACATGCATTTCTTTATAAAGAGTCTCAATAAGTGTTGTATTGTATTGATTTAAACTATTGAAAATAATCAATACGATTAACAATTAAGTAAATTATTGTACAACAAATAAATTATTTTAACAAAATACAAATTACAAGTGATGATAAATAATATGTACCTTATGGTCGTTCCAAACGTCTCTTGAACGATGATTTGCTTGATCGTATAAAACTGTCGGATCAATCGGTCCTTGATCAACATAATATCGTTGATTGAAAATATCAACATCCGGTCCAACCTACGATAGCATAACAATAACATAAATCATTAGTATATAAATTAAATAAATCATTATAACAACAACAACAATTGGGAAAAATGAGTACGTACCGTTTGATAATCATCATAAAAAAGACCCTCTTCTTGAGCGAAATCGGCCATTCTCTCGGAATCCGGACAGAGGTTCGACGATTTTTTAGTGAAAACCAAAGAAAAAGTATTTTGGAGGCAGATCAGACTTAGCTGCAACCAACAAAAAAACTAATTCTAAGATTGGGTGGGGAGGGGTTGGGTAGAGAGAAGTTAGAGGGAGAGAGGGGAGTGTGGTGGATGGTGTGCAGAAAGGAGAAGTGGAGGGGGGTTTATATAGGCTTCAAACCGCGTGGGGGAGGGTCGGTGCAGTAATTTCTCGCCACCAAAAACCGCGCCTCCAGCACGCGGTTTGCCTTTCCCGATGGTCAAACCGCGCCTCGGGGGGACGGTTTGTGTTTTCCAACGGTCAAACCGCGCCTCGGGGGAGCGGTTTTTCTGGGGCGACGCGGATCGCTTATTTGGCAGCCATTTTAGCCGTCAGATCGCTCCTCCGACGGGCGGTTTGATGCACCGCCACGTGGCAATGCGGTTTGACAGCCATGCAAGGTCAAACCGCGCCTTGGGGGCGCGTTTTTCACTATAACCGCCGCCTGGGAGCGCGGTTTTTTTATAAACCGCTCCTTAGAGGCGCGGTTTTAAATAAAGGGTGGTATTTTTGGAAATTCTTTGGAGTGGGTGGTATTTTTGTAAATTTTTTTTTAAACAGTGGTAGTTTTGGATTTTTTCCAAGAATAACAGTCTTCTCAATCCATTGTCCAAGTAACCTTTTTCCTTGTTGGTTAGTTCACTTTTGTGTTCAACGTCGTTAGCCCAAATCCTGATACGAACACCCCAGGAAAAAAAAAACATACTTATCGAATTTAACATTCGCAACCGTAATGTTTGATATAAATGATGACATCCTTGCAATCATATGACCCATTTCAAATCATAACAACAACAATCCACCACCCAAAGAACCCTTGCCCCCCTCCAAATACACACCATGTATAACAAACGTAATCCACGTTTTCAAATCCCTCTCAAAGTCCCACAACTAACTAGCAATCCCACACTTCACACTTTCAACTAATACGTCACTCGAACCCCTTGGTATCTCAAAATCTCCCCAATCAACTCCCCTTTCCCGGACCCAACATACCTTCCTTTGATCTCGCCGTCCCTTATGAACAAAAAAGTGGGGACCTCGATCACGTTCATGTCCTTGAGGAACTCCATACAGCTGTCGTTCTCGTCGCCGTTCATCCTCGCGAACGCCGCCGTGTCGGCCATCGAGCGGGACAGCTTGAGGACCGTCGGGTAGACCTTGACGCAGGGCCCGCAGTGCTTGAGCCCGACGTCCAGGACGATGAGCTTGTGGTCCTCTTTGTGGTCGGCGATCAGCTTCTCCACGTCCTCGCGGCAGTGCAGCTGCGCCACGGTGCCGTGGTTGTCCCCGTAGTATAGCACGTCTCCCATCAGCTGGTCCGGCCCAATCGCTTCCTCCTCGTGTATCTGTTTTTTTTTTTTTTTGGGAAGAGAAAGGGGAAATTAAATACGGGTTTCGGTTTAGTCTCATTTGATTTGGTCGATTCAATGCAAATAGAGGTGGCAATTTACAATGTAATCAACCAATCAAATCCAATTCATCCAATTAAATATCTAACTAATCCAATTCATTAATCCAATCTAATCCAAATATTTAATTTTGTAAATAAAAATGTTACTGTATCCACCCAACCATCACAAAACGGCCACACAATCTAATGATGTTGAAGCCAAGGTTTGTAAGTTGGTTCTTCTAAATGGATTGTAAACACCATAACAAAATTCTAATAATATCAAAGGTGACATTTTTTACGCATAAATTGTGAGAACAAAATTGATACAAAATTCAAATGCTTGTTCTGCTTTTTCACCAAAATTTATCAATTATTCATGCAAATTGATTTGTTTTCACATATATATACATATATATTTTTCTTCTGTAAATGGATCAATTAAATTTTCACAAACTTATTAATTAATCACATAATTTCTTCAACAATTTCTTCTTACAATCTTACGTGATTATTTTGGATCATATAAAAATTCAGTTTTAACTAAAAAAGCAACCTGTGCCAATTATTTCGTAAGGATTGAAATACCGTACCGTACCGGCGGTTCAATCAGAAAAATATCCTATCGGTAGGCGGTATTTGGCGGTTGAACCATGGTTAAATCACAATTTTAGCATAAAATACCCTACCGCTGACTTTTCTGTTACAACCTCTCATACGGTATTCCAATCTTTAATTTCAATTGGTACCAATAATAGACTAATTAAGCATTAAATTAAGTTCTAATCATGTTTTTTAATCAATCTCACTAATCTAATTAATTACCTTCTCCATGCCCTTGTAGAAGCTGAAGTGAGGCACCTCCTCGATCTTCTCCCTGACGAAGATCTCCCGCGTCTTGTCGGACTCATCCTCCAGCACGAGGAGGAAAACGACGTCGTTGCACGTGCGGCTCAGGTCGACCAAGAAAGGGTAGATCTGCTTGCTCTCCTCGTTCTTCGTGGCGGCCCATTCCACCACCACCAGCTTCTCCTTCGCCCCCTTCAGCGCCTCGTCGAACTCCGCCGCGCTGTGGATCTTCTTCACCTTCTCGTCCAGCTTCGGCTTCTTCTTCTCCGACGACGACGTCCCCGGCGCCGCCGTGGCTCTCGTCACGAATAATTGTGAGTTTAATTTCCTCCTGTTGTTCAGTGACGATGACGTCGGGGTTCGGGTCTTTTTAGCGAGGGTTGCGGAGGAGAGGGGTAAGAAGGCGAGAGGGCTGGCGGGTTTTGGCGGGAGCGGAGTCGGCGGTTTGGAGAGCGAGTTTGTGAGCGTAGCCATGGCGGATGGATTTGATTAGTGAGTGCTAGTGAAGTGGCGGTGTGAGATTGTTGGGGAGGAATTTTTGAGAAGGGGAGGGAAACGATTTGAAGGGATTTAGTGAGGATAATCCAATTGGGGAAAAAATCTTGGGAGGGCAACAATGGCGACCACTCGTTTGGTTTTGGTGATCTTTATTATCCACAAGTCTAAAATTGTGGATGTTCCGGGCCCCGGGGCAGATTTTTTTTTTTTTTTTTGGTCTTTATAGATCTTTCCAAATTGGTGGAGGGGTTCTTCACTATGTTGCTGAATGTGCCTAAGCGCAATGTTTAGCTTTTTCCTATAAAAAAAAAATAAGAAATTCAAATTAGTCTCGCGATATCATAATTAGTTTTTAATTGGAAAGTTTAATATCCGATCTTAGGATGAATTTTCTCTTTTCTTCCGTAAATTTAGATTAAATTTCGTGACTAAAAGGTCATTTGGATGAGAGATACTAACGGATCAATTGGATCTCATTGTTTCGTTTTGAGACATTTAGGCCAAAAATGATTAGTTTGATAACTCCAATGAATAAAGTAATTTGATATGGAGAATTTCAAATTAACTCGTTTTAATACAAATACATGAAGTGAGGAGAGATAATTCAAATTCACTCCACGTTTTGTAAAATGAGAGCATGAGACCATTAGCGTTTCCAATTGATCCATCAAAAGGAACCAAAATTCTGTACGGAGATTCTCGAGCCCATCATGTTTACTCCTTGCTTCACAAGTGACAACCCAAAAATGGTTTATCAACAGAAGTTTGAAGCTACGGAAGGCCTTATAATAGGGCTCGAAGGTTAGAAATCTCAAGCCCATAAAATGGGCATTGACTGGGCTGGGCCCTATTCTCCCCAGCGGTGAAGAAGCCAACATTCCACACCCGATTACCTGCCAATCCATTATTGCGTCTAGTTCAAGACATCTGGCCTGTGGCCTGTGGGAGACAGTTGCTCGCTCGGCAACACCATGGATGTTTTGGGACGAATCTCGCCATTATTTGTTGGTTGTACCTCACACTTCCTTTTGCATCCTACATTGCAGTTCAGTATTCCTTATCCTAATCTCCTGAGTTGTGATGTGATCCTTCCTATCATTCATTCCTCAATAGCACATTAGCACCATTGCCTCTAATGGTTAATTAAAATACCAAACTTGAACCCGCTTGCTCCACCAAGAAAGCAATTCATTCTTTACATTGATAAGTGTCGTGTAGCATTGCGAGTCGTGCCCATTAGGATCAATGGTTGAGTTAGAAGGGGCTGTAGTCTCCCATCAATTTTGAAATTTAGATAAAATACTAAAATTACATGTAAAATTTGCACAAATTTAGGAGTTAAATTAGTCGGCAAGGCTTTAACCTCCCTCCCTCATTTACGACAATTCAAATTCTTTCGAATTTCTGGCTTCACAACTGATTAGAATGGTAAGGTGAATAAATTTTACTATACAATAGTTGACGAACATATAGTTAGGGCTCGACTCAATATGGAACAACATAAAATGGCTTCAATTTGAGTTAACATGTATCAAATTTATATCAGGTTGTCATCGACATCGTATCTCTTACTGCATGCATCATAAATTAAAATTTTTATTTTCCTACTCTTTTGTTGTGATTGTCGGAGTGAGAATGGAGTCGTCGGCAGCAAAAATCAAATAAGTGCTGCTTGGTCAAAACTGTGTGACATGGATTAGTGCACTTTGAGTCTTTATGTTTTCAATATTTACATTTTGGTCCATCGTGTTCGTCGAGAATGACCTCCAACACCAACGGCTGGCTCGGTGTAAACGAACATCTCGGCTTTGGACAATTTGTTGAACCTCAAGAATTCGAGCATGGAATCTACTTCATCTTGAGTGGTTATGGTATATTCCTCATGCCACAATGACCCACTTTCTTTGTTTGGATATCGGTACACCATTCGATCTACTCTTCTCGTGCCATCCATGCAAGTAAGTTAGTGCATATTTGATGGAGGTCTTCAAGCTTCGGTCTGGTACCGACCGTTGTTTTCTGAAAATTGCCACCGACGTAGGTGGCCCCCTTTCCGGTCTCTTCTGTGTAACCATTCCACCGTAAGCCAAGCGTGAACTGACGGAATGCCATCTGCACACAAAAAAACAGTAGTTCAGTTAAACTCGTAAAAATCACAAATCACAAATAACAATAAAAAGTAACACAAAATAAACTTACGAGTTAATGTTAATGGCAAAAACACTAAAGAAATATATAGGAATACAACAGAAAAATGAAAAGAGAGAAGGAGAGGTGTGAAGAGTAGAGGTTTTTCGCCAGTCTTATATAGGGGAAAAAATCAGGAAAACCGCACCTCTAAGGTGCGGTTTTAGTCTGCCATGCAGCCCTACGTCCATAATTCTCTGCATGGGTTTGTCGGGTGTCGGAATATTATTGACACACAGACCGCACTTGGGGGGTGCGTTCTGTATAGCTAAACCGCACCTTAGAGATGCGGTTTAATTTTCGAGGAACAAACCGCATCTCTAGGATGCGGTTTGGCTAGGTCATGCCAGAAACGCACCTCGGCCGTGCGGTTTGTGTAGGGGCAGAGTCCAAACCGCCTGGCCAAGATGCGATTTCGGTCCAGGAATATTGACCGCACCATACAGGTGCGGTTTATATATAAAACGCACCTGGAGGATGCGGTTTATATGTAAAACGCACCTCTAGGGTGCGGTCCATAAAAAAGGGTGCTAGTTTTGTAAATATTTTTGGAAGGGTGCTATTTTTGTAATTTTTTTTAAAAGGTGCTATTTCTGGAAAAAAACTCAAATATTGGAGGATAATGTGAAGTGAAGACAAAATGTCTCCATAACTAACATTTGCTTTGATATAATTCATACAATGTTGAAGGTAAGAAGCATAGCAGAATAGTTTGGTTGTACATTGATATAATGGTGGAAAAGGCTAGCATACACTTGAGGTGTAATATGCACCTTCATTCATACCTATTAGTTGTATGTTAATATATTTTGACAAATAAGAATCAGTGATTATTATTTTTCATTAAATGAATCGTACGAGTTTGGATTAGAAAATTAAAGACTGTGTTTCACCTATTAGAGAATATGGTATAACATCATGTGCCAAACTCCATTAATTCATGGTCTAAATAACAACTCTATAGGAGTACGGTCACTACGGGAAAAGACACTTCTTGCAACACACGGATTGCAACACTATTTGAAAGTGTTGCGCTAGATATACAATTGCAACCTTTTTTTATGAAGTTGCGTATTGAGTAGTTTTCGCAACCCAAAGTGATCATATGTTGCATTTGTTCCATTATATGCAACACATATATGTAAAATAAATTTTGGGTTGCCTATAAGTATAGTTTATCCAACACTTTATGTAATTGTGTTTCAAAAACATCAATTTTACTATTGAACCTTTGCTGTAAATTGATAGCTAAATAAAAATTAAATAAAAAATGAAAGCCACTAATAGAAAAGAAAAGGAAAAACTAATAAACCATAAAGAAAAGGAACAGTCAACGAAACTTTACCAAAATTAAAGTCTCGCTACGTACTTCTATTCCCAGAATTCCCCGCGCGAGGTAGAATTTCTCGCGTGTTCATCAGCCGAAATAAGCCAGAAGCAGGAGAGATTCGGCCATCGAAGGTCACATATTGCTTACCCGACGCCGACGGTACAACTCCCCCACCCCCAATCAAGCATCCTCCGCACTCTTTCCTCTGATCGTCAACAACAGCGCCTTATTACAGTGGGTTCTCCTTCCCCTGCTCGCCGTTCTCCTTTTGTCTTCCCCTGCTCTTCTGCACCGGATCTAATTTCTTTCTAAAGCTATACTACTTTGTTTGGCTCCAGAGCTGAAGATGGTTGGCGATTGTAGTTTGTTCTTGAGCTTCTTCTTTAAGTGTTTGTTTAATTGTTCTTTATGCGATTTATCCCTTTTAGTCCTTCGGAATTGTGATGTGGGAGTTCCTTACTAGAGAAGAACCTTATACGGATTTGTATTGTTCCTCAATAATAATAGGTATCCCTACATCCATTATGGTATTAATTTTCTTAGATTAGTATATACTTTAGAGCTTAGATGCTCTGGATACAGGTTAGTTGACTTGAGATATCTTGGTTTATTTGGAACATGGTGATAGTTTGATTAATCAAGACTGATCTAGCCTTTTCCATGTGTGTGACAGTTTGATTAATCAAGACTGATCTAGCCTTTTCCATGTGTGGCAGCTAGAAATCAATTATCGCTGGAAAGAAGAATACTTGAGGAATGAAGAACTAACGATTTACGCCATAGAAACCGGGTTCTACAACTCAAATGAGTTAATCATAACTCAAAAGTTATCTTGAAGAGCTGCAAAGGATTAAGGATTGGTGCTTTAAATAGTCTGCTCTTCGCCACCCTGTCAAATTGTTCTACAACAACCGAAAGTAAAGATGGATTAGAGTAGCAATCAATAGGTAAAAGAGAATGTATGAATATGAAACTATCGTTGCCAATCTGTATGTTTTTGTTATGTCCATTTAATACTTTAGTTGGGGAAAGAGGAGAAGTACATAGAAATTGGGAGTATAATTGATTGAAGCTGAAGGAATTACTTGTTTGCCAGACTTTGTGTTGTGTTGTTGCTGATACTGCTACTACTGTTTTGCTATGCGCATTTTCACTTTCTGGTTAGTTGACATTTTTCATTTGCTCTATCAATCAAGCGAGCAATGCAGCTGCAGAATCGTATAAAAATGCTTTGCTTTTTAGCATTGATGGGAAATTATTCAAGAAAAGCAAGTCATTATAGGTTGTCGTCCATTCCCAGCAACATAGATAAACCCACACAAAGCTTAAGTTTAACGAATATTGCTATTGATCTTGTTTACTGGTACTTTGTATGTTCACTTCTGGCTGAAATTGCACTTTCCTCTTTGTCCTTACCTTATTTATAAACTCACTAATTCAAGTCATTCATTCTGCAGTTTTTTTTATTGGAAATGGACAAGAGTTGGTTGTCAAAACCACAAGTGAGTACTGCCTATGGTAATGGAGTAGAGAGTTTTCTCGACTTCGCATTTGCTAATTCAGCTGAGGGGAATGGGATTTTGTGCTCCTGGG